AATCCTAGGGTGGGCCTTCCTATCTTCTTCTTCAGCCGCTATATGTTGTGGTGAACGGATTCTGCACCTAACTAATACGGACTCCATGTTCGACGAAGGCGTCTACAAGCCTCTACGCCTGTTCGCTCGCGAAGATCTCGAACTACCGCCACACCAAGAACGAATTGTGACCCTGATCTCTAAGGACATCGACCACGGTGACGTCTTGGTGTCCCCTTCGTCGACTTGCGTCGCAAAAGGCATAGCCCTTGCATCAGGTGTCGTACGCTTTCACCATGGCTCCGCGCTCGTCATTGCTACGAATGAAACGCCAGAGAAAGTTCTCCTGCCAGAGGGCACTGCAGTAGCCTGTGTTGTGGATGCTGAGCCTGTCAGCGTCACGCCACTCAACCCTGCCTCTACCAACGACCGTTCTATGAGTAAGCCTGCCTCATCCTCTCCCTTCACAGCTCTTATCAGTGATGACTTAACAGCTATGCAGGCGCCGCAGTTGCTTGCGTTATTAACGAAACACGCCGATTCTTTCGACACCTGCTCCTCAACGTTGGGCCGAACTACCACTGCAGCGCATCGCATTCAGACGGAGGGAACATCTATTGTACATCGCCGCCCGTACCGCGTGTCTCTCGCTGAGCGAAAAATCATCGAGGAAAACGTCGCTGACATGCTCCAACGAGAAATAATTCGTCCATCAACTAGCCCTTGGTCATCCCCTGTTGTTTTGCTACGGAAAAAAGATGGCTCCGTGCGCTTTTGCGTTGATTACCGGGCACTTAACAACATCACACGCAAGGACGTATACCACATGCCACGCATCGACGACGCCCTTGATTCACTTCAAGGCGCCGAATACTTTTCAAGCCTTGATTTGCTTTCGGGATATTGGCAAATTCCCATGCACGATGACGACAAAGAAAAAACGGCATTTGCAACCCCCGATGGCCTATACGAATTTAACGTGATGCCTTTCGGGCTCTGCAATGCGCCCGCGACGTTTGAACGCATGATCGACACCGTCCTGCGTGGTCTGAAATGGAAGACGTGTCTCTGCTACCTTGATGACAATATCATCTTTTCATCAACGTTTTCTCAGCACCTGAGCCGCTTGGATGACGTCCTAACATGCCTCGCCGGTGCGGGTCTGCAGCTCAACACTAAGAAGTGCCGTTTCGCCACCAAATCCATCAAGGTTCTCGGTCATGTCGTCAGCAAGGACGGTATTCGCCCTGACCCCGAAAAGATCACTGCCGTCCTTTTTTTCCATGCCCCAGAAGACTTAAGGATTTGCGAAGTTTTCTTGGCCTCGCATCATATTTTCGTCGCTTCATACAAAATTTCGCTTCAATAGCTGCGCCACTTCACAAACTACTTGCATCTAATGCACCATTTGTGTGGTCCGAGGGATGCCAGTCGGCGTTTCACCTATTGAAGAAAGCTTTGACGTCAGAGCCTGTACTCTGCCATTTTGATGACACCGCCCCAACACTCCTGCATACCGACGCCAGCGGCTGCGGTTTAGGTGCTGTTCTCCTCCAACGCGATAACTCTGGACGGGAAAGGGTCATCGCATATGCTAGCCGAGTGCTAACTTCTACCGAAAAAAACTATACCATCACTGAGCAGGAGTGCCTCGCTGTGGTTTGGTCCATACAAAAGTTCCGTCCTTATCTGTACGGCCGTCAATTCACCATCGTAACGGACCACCACGCCTTATGCTGGCTTTCTACAATGAAGAACTTGTCCGGACGCTTGGGTCGTTGGATTTTACGCCTACAGGAGTATCAGTTTGAGATTATTCATAAATCGGGCAAAAAAACATCAAGACGCCGACGCTCTTTCTCGTTGCCCACTACCTACAGCGTCGTTCGACACTCCAGCTGCCACCTCCAACGGCACCAGTGCGGACGTGACTGCCACTTCTGTTGCCTTGCTCGCCTCGCTGTACCAACCGCCAATCGACGATGAACAACCCTTCAGTTCTCACCAGCAGGCTGACCCGTATTGTCGGCGCATTATAGACCACCTTTCAGGAGCTACGCGTCCACCCAATGCACGCCTTCGTCGACAACTCGAGCACTTCAAGTTTCAGGACGGTGTGCTGTATCGTCACATATATCATCCTGACGGCACACGCTGGGTACCTGTTCTGCCACGTGCTCTGCAACATCATGTACTTAACGCCTTTCATGACGATTTGACTGCTGGCCACCTAGGCTTTCACAAAACCTACGACCGCATTCGAAGCCGCTTTTATTGGCCTGGGATTTCTACCAGCGTAGCAAAGTACGTGGGTTCCTGCTCTCCATGCCAACTTCGCAAACTTCCGACATCTCCCCCAGCTGGTCAGTTACAGCCAATGACGTGCCCTACAACACCTTTCGAGGTCGTCGGTGTCGATCTTTATGGACCCCTCCCTGTTACTGGTGCTGGAAATAGATGGATAGTCACCGCCGTAGACCATATGACACGCTACGCCGAGACAACTTCAGTAGCTACTGGTTCAGCATCGGAAGTTGCTGACTTCGTCCTTCAGGCCATAATCCTACGTCATGGTGCACCTCGTGTACTTCTGAGTGACCGTGAAAAGGTGTTCTTATCAGAGCTTTTAGGTGAGGTTCTTCGCGTTTCTGGTACCACACACAAGATGGCGTCTAGCTACCATCCTCAAACAAATGGTCTGACCGAGAGATTTCATTGAACCCTTGCCGACATGATCGCCGTATACATTCAACCGGATCACAGAAACTGGGATAAACTTCTACCGTTCCTCACTTTCGCCTACAACACCGCTGTTCAGCGCACAACAGGCTACTCACCGTTTTATCTCGTTTACGGACGTTCACCTACTTTTTTTATCGATGTTTCCTTCTTCACCAGCAATGGCCCTACATCACCATCTTCTTGCGAAGAATATATTTCTCGCCTTGCCCAGTGCCGCCAGCGCGCTCGTATGAACACGGAAGCTACGCAACAAGCAAGGAAGGCCGTCTACGACACCTCTCATCGTGTGGTATCATTCCGACCGGGTGACGAGGTGCTGCTATTGACACCAATTCGCACACCTGGTCTCTGCGACAAGTTCCAGCCTCGATTCATCGGCCCATATGTTGTTTTAGAGCAGACTTCACCTGTCAACTATCGTGTGACGCCTCTTGTCGTGCCAACTGTCCGCCGTTACCGCAGCACCGAAATTGTACACGTTTCCCGCATGAAGCTTTTCACACGACGTTCCTCGTCACCTTGACTACCCGCTCGCAGCGGCCAGGCTGGCCGCTTCCACGGGGGGGGGGGGGAATCAGTGTAGGCATCTATTATGCGCTTCATCCTCATCTGAACAGCAGTCAATCATCATCATATGTTCTGGCTGACAATCATCATCTGCTTGGCACGAGCGCTTCTTTGTCGTGTCCGTTGCGCTTGTTCGTTCCCGAGTTCACGGCCAATAAACCTCGCTACAACCGAGTCGTCATAATATATATATATATATATATATATATATATATATATATATATATATATATATATATATATATGTATATATATATATATATATATATATATATATATATATATATATATATATATATATATAATATATATATATCAAATTTGGTATTCCGGTACGTGAATGGATGAGAAAGGTATGTGACTGGTGCAGACATGATAATCATGAGATGCGTGTCATGTAACAACATGACTACATGCCAGACATGATGCGCTGGTGGCCGTTTCGCTAGCTTCCCATATGTCAAATGGGTACTGCGTTACGCCAATGAATGACGAAGGTATGTGACTGTGCAAACAAGATACAGTCAAGGCGCCAATACATTTTGGCAAGACGCGGTGCGCGTGCTTGCTGACGTTCATTTTCTAGCGTCACGCAGGCGTTGCCATGCCCGGCGCCGTTTCTGCCATATACTCTAAGGTGTGCGCCGTGCTGCATTGCTTTGACGCGTGCGCGTTTCAGAGTGTCCTGCGTCCCTACATCACGAAAAGAGGGAGACGCAGTGTTGTCTGGGCAACGCATTGGCGCGAAATGCAGCATGTCGCATTTCGCGCCGGTTGCCATCAGGCCGCGGCGACGTACGCTGGTCGCGCCTGGCGTCCGACTATAGAGCGCTTGCGTTATGCTAACGTAGCGTCGCTGTGCCGGGCATGGGCGCGCGTCAGCACTGCATTGGAGTATATTGGGCCCTTCATGATGCGCTCGCGGCCGTTTTTCTAACTCCACATATACCAAGTTTGGTGTTACGTGACGTCAATGGATGACAATCGTATATGACTGGTGCAAACATAATATTGGTGACAAGCGTGTCTATTTAGAAAACACAACATACAACGCTCATAGCGGAGCTCGCGGCCGTTCCGCTAGCCCCACTTATAATAAATTTGGCATCACGTGACGTGAATATATGACAAGGGTAAATGACACATCCAAATATTATCAATGATCATGACACGGAAAATATGTACGGCATCATTTCCCTCAACCTCGTAACTTTGTGCTGATTTTAAGTGACATATCAACAGTTCTCATACGAGCTTTGCGTATCATCGATTCCCACTGTACGTAAAATCTGCAATTTTTTTTATATTCCGACCTTCACTTTGGTGCGCGCATATGTCTCGATAACTTCACTCAAGCTTACAGCAGCATGCAAGAGCATGCCAGGTTTTTACGCTTTTTTGTACTCATCTTCATTCATTGCGATCATTTTTCATTTTCCGTACAAGCACGTTCATGAAGCAGTAGCCACTTTTAGTGAGCAAGCGAGATATATCAAGAAGACTTGAAGCACCCGGATACAACGGGGATTGAATTACACTGTTTATTAGACATTTTACGCGAATATTGTAGTTAAAAGACAAAAACGCACAGTGCTTCTGTTGAAGAAATTCTCATGAAGGATACAATAATAAAACTTGCAATGTTTTTTTTCTAATATGAAACACACCAATTATTTTTTGAAAAACTCATATTGGTTTGCTTTCCACTTCAGACCGTGATCCAAATACTGCCTGCGATGAGTTCATCAGCCTAAAGAAAGGGCAACCAGCAAAAACGATGACAACACCTTCTGACAACCCTTCGACGACGTCTTCCAGACCCAGAGCCCCCTCTTTTCACCAGAGCCATGAAAGGCGGACCCAGTGATCAATTAAATTTTGAGCAGTTTGTCCCAGCTTCCTGTTGATCTAATCCGAAATTCAAAAGATTTTAGCGGCTGCTTTTTTGTTTGTTACGGGTGGTTTGAATGAAGATGTAACGAAGGAATCTCACACGTGTTTTTGAGTGTCATTGTAATGGCAGACATGTTTCTTATTGACAGTTAATCGATTACTACCAAACTTTTTTACAATGCTTACAAGAAGTGAAAAACGTAATGAGACGTGCAGATGGCTTGACAATTAGTGGTATCCCATGATGACGTGGTTCTAGCATCAGTGGTAAACTGCCGAAGATCACATATATATTGGCACATATATTTCACAGTCCTTCATGTGCCATTTGCTGAGATGGTACACGCCTTCAATAAATTCCTTTCGTTCCCAACCTGATGGCATAAGTTTTTTTATTGATTTTGTTGATTCACTTTCAGGCTCAGAAACACGTCTGCAGAGAGGTAAATATTTCGTTTATAGCAGCTATATTACTCAATTAAAATCTGCAAAACAAGCTTCAGCGTGATGATATAAGGAATAGTTCAAGATTCAGCGAAGATAGCTTGTTAAAACGTCTTCAGTAAAACTAACAATAACTTATTAACCAAGCATACACTTCTGATTTGCGGAAAAAGTTTTGCTACATCTTTTAGTGTAATAATATTGTATCATTTTATAGTTTTTAGATTTAGGATCAAAACTATGAGACTTTGCGTGAATTAATACCACTGCTTGAACGTCATGCATTACACATAACATGTCTATTACCGTGCAATTCGAAAGCACTGAATACAAAAAAATTATGAAGTTTGGTATGTTGGTAATCCATAACTTTGTTGGTAATCCATTAAGTTGCTTAATACACCCATGGAGAAAACACCGCATTTTTAAGGTCACGGTTATTTGCACTTCATCTTTCTTGGTCTTCGATAGTGAATTTCGACTCGATGGTACGGACATTCCTAACCTTGATTCTTCCATGTTACGGGGTGATAATGGTAATATTTTTTCACATGGGACATCACTAATGTTTTTCCCTCGCGTTATTTTTGGCAATCTTGGTACCGGCCTTAGTTATTTTTTGCAGTTTTATACCAGCTCCTGTAATAAAAATAGCTATAGCCAGATTATTTACATTGATGACTGCATTGAATTTAGTTATATAAAAACCATCTATTTGTGCACGAACAAGACTCAACTGTAAAAATTATCCCGTATATTCCTTTTTTGTATTGTTTAGGCACTGTCCTTGAGTGCGCAGCTGCAGAAACTCTATATTAAAATGTTCTTTGTGTTTCAAAATATTTTTACCAGCCTTAAACAATCATTGTAAAAGAACATGCGATGTTTCCAAAGAACTTAAGCATCAGCAAGACCTCTCACACGGTTGAACGTGGAGTGACAGCCCCATGCATTCATTGTCCACTTAGACAGCAGCTGCGGATAAAGTACAGTTTACGTCTCATTACGCATGCGTACCTTAGGGCAAATAAAGTTATTTTTCACGGATATACGGCAGAAGTGCCGCTAATGACGGACGGTTTCTTGTTAGGAAAGTTGTTTGAAAATGTAGCCACAAACGTGTGCAGTTACAGCTTGTCCAAAAAGTTAACGTTTGTATGTTTCGGGGCTTCAGGGTAAATATCAAATCATGAAGACTACAAATTTATTCTGGCTCGTCATTTGTGTGGCACGTCTGCATGGTACGTTGTATATTTTTTTGCAAAGTGCGATATCTGAACGGTAAAAAAACCTTTACTCAAAACTGTGGATTGCCTTTGACAAGTGCGAATAGAACAGCTGCTGGGACAGTTTCTAGTTCTTGAGCCTTATAAGCCTCAACGCTAAACACACGCTCACGCCAGCAACTAACAACGCTCGCGCGACGAAGTTCTTCGCAAACAGACTGGTCTCAACTTGTCGCTGACGGTAAGTTTGGCCTCGACTCAGACGCTTCGGCTGAGTCACTCGCCGCTAGGTTTTAGTGTCATGGGACACCATCCACAGAGCTTTGAATTAATCACGCAAGTGGTCACACGACCGGTACTTATCGATAGGTGAAATCAGCGTTAAATGTCATGAAAACACCGACAATTAGAATGAAAGAAATTTAACATCAGACTTTCCTGGTTTTCAATTTCACTTCTTTTATGAGCCTTTTTTGTATCCAAAGAAAAACTATCCCGTCATTTAGCCGAACTCCAGGCTCTCAAATGGGACGCTTTTTGAAAGGATGGAACATGTGAGGAAATAAGCTGGGGTCCGAAAAGTTACGTTTTTTCATTCGTGCAGATTGACGGTGAGTGCCGCTTTCGACTGAAGCCCACATCTCGATGAGAAGTTACCCACTTTGTTATATTTCTATATTTTTGCCTTTGCTATACGAATACAAGTATTCTGCTTTATCGCTGTCATTTTTGTACATTTAAGCGTTTGGTTGAAAATATGTTTAGGCCTAGCCACTTGCAGCGCTGATTCTTTTTAGCCTAAAAAGTTTTTGCCAGTTTGCCTGTGCAATCACTAGTATACCAAATAACGGAATAGTTTCAAACACAAGTGGTCAGTATGATATTTTTCGCTTGTTTTTCCTATTATTTATTGAAATTACGTTGACAGCAAATTATTTTGTATATACGAAAGAGTCGTTTCCACCTCAGTTTGCGAAATAAATAAAATGGTAAAGGTAGTAGAACAAATGACCGAAGCTAAAGTGCGATTCGTAGCTGCAATCAAGTCTAGTTTGGAGTCTTATTTTGTAGGTGTAGGATAACTATGATTGCGTGATAATATTTGCTACAATAAGATGGCTACTTTTATGCGAATGTAGCGGTTCAATATTTACGATAACCATACGTTGTTCACTTGTGTCATCTTGACACTAAAAATAAATCAAGCGACTTCTCGTTATGCATCAATGCCTTCAAAATCTAACGTAAAAACGTAACACTCTACTATGTAAACCTTCAGCGTTTGAAACGAAAAATCCAAGTTATTGCATGAAACCACGTGCCACTGGAGCCTGTCGGAATTACGTCGTCGCTTGGTACTTCGACTATGCGAGAAGATACTGCAAAATATTCCTGTATGGCGGCTGTGGTGGAAATAAGAACAAGTTTTCCTCGGAAATAAAGTGCCAGCAGGTGTGCCTCCGTAAGTACACATTCTGTATTCAAATCACATATACGCTTCCTGATTTGGACATTCTATACTAACCGACAAACTTGCCTGAACGACACTGATTGTGATTTGACATCCGCGCGCGCGCACACATTTACCATTTTCCTATTTTAACTCCAATACTCCTCAACCTTTCTATCTCCTCTAAGACCCTTTTCACCAGTGTACATACAATCAAATGTTTCTGTGGACATCTTCTCATCCTAGCTTCTTAGTTATTTTTTAATGCGACGCATTTCTTAGCGAACTTCGGCGACTTTGAACGTATCTATCTATCTATCTATCTATCTATCTATCTATCTATCTATCTATCTATCTATCTATCTATCTATTCGCCTAGGACATTTAGCTCTCCTGGTCGTTTAGATAATGGTATCGATACTGAAGCGTACAGACACGAATGTACAACAGTGAACAACCTTTATTGGGAGCGAGGCTTTTTATAGCCTCTGAAGGGTATGCGCACACAACGTGCGCAGTGGCAGTGACATGTGCAAACGACGATGAATCAGCCTTCTTTCCCCTTAAGGCTGGTAGCGATCCGGCGGGCGTCGGTTTCGGGTGGACTTGCGTAACATGGTTTCGCCAGGATCGAACTCTTTATTGCCATCAAATTGCGCGCCGCTGGTGTCATTTCCAACCTGGTTATCATGCGTATTTGGTCGGCTGTGTGCACCGACTTCGCCAGCGGTGCACCGGTTTCGCCAGCTTCCGTCTGCGGTGCCTCAACCCCGGGCTCTTGCTTGACTTCTGCTTCACCGGCAGCGAGTCCCGTGCTGTCGGTTTCTCTTCCTCTCAAATGGTCATAATGCCGGCGATGATGTTCGCCGTCTGCGGCCTTGATGGTTACCATGCGGTGGCCTTCGGGGGTCTGTACGACGCCAGCCTTCCACCTGGCTGCTGTCCCGTAGTTCCTGTACCAAACAGAGTCTCCAACTTGGCGAGTGGTTCCGGGGTGCTCCGTATCTGCGTGAGAAAATGGCCGACATGACACGATGTTATCCAACTTGCATCGAGGCTCAAAACCCAGCAGCATGATCGCTGGCGTTTTCCCGCTTGGCAGAGGGGTGCGGCGATACTGTAACAGAATTTGGTCTAATCGGCCTTACGGTGTACCTCTAGCGTTCTTGCGCAGTCCCAGTTTATTCGTTCGCACTGCCATCTCTGCTAAACCGTTGGACTGCGGATGATAAGGCACGGTGCGAAAGTGGCGAATTCCGTTTTCATTCATGAACGACTGAAACTGCGCGCTAGTGAACTGTGGCCCGTTATCGGAAACCACGGTTCGGGGCAGGCCAAACTTACTAAACATTGATTGTAAGGCTTCGATAGTCCGTCCCGCACTGGCTATCTTCACTGGGCTCACCTCTATCCACTTCGTGTGCGAATCAACCGCGATGAGCAACATATGTCCGTCAACCGGGCCGGCATAGTCTACGTGCACCCTTGACCACTTTTCCTTGGTTTCCGGCCATGGCGCAGGCTCTTTGGCAGGTGGCATGCTGCTACACTGCACACATACAGGGCAAGTAATTACCACACGTTCAATGTCCCGATACAGCCCAGGATACCAAAAGTTGGAGCGCCAACTTCTTCATCGACGTCATCCCTTGATGAGTCTCGTGCAGCATGCGTAGTACGGAATTCCGGGTGGCGACCGGAATTATCGCTCGGTGGCCCCAGTAGACAATGTTATTACTGCACACAAGTTCGTGTTTTTTGAAAAAGAATGGACGTAAGTCTGGTTTTGATCTCGGTAGTTTCCTAGAACAGCCGCCGCGAATATAGACAGCGACTTGCTTGAGGGTGCTATCTGCTTTTGTCGCCCGGGCCAAATC